GTTGTGAACAGTTTGGTACGCGCACCGCTTTACACGCCCCCCCACCTCGATCGCCTTTATCCGCCCGTCCGCATATAAACTTCAGCCCGATTTCGAAGCGCACCAGGCAATCGACCTCACCCGCGCGGCAAATGCTCCTTAAGGGATAAGATTCATATCCAGTTTTAAAACTTGCATGAAGTAATATTTTTCAGTGTCTGTTTCATATGGGTTTAGTGTTTTTTATAGATCGATCATTGTTTTTTTCTTCTTAAAAAAAACAACGTAATTGTAAAATTTATCATTCGAAAAAAAAATCAGTGATATTATCTTAAAATTTAAACCCATAAATTTTATTTACCTAAGTTACTTACACACAGTTTACCTTCGTTAATTGACAACTCAATGAGGTTTTATCATTCCTTCGTTTTTTAGATTGAGCGGCTTATATTTTTTACGTCCTTTATAAACTTTAAATTATGTGAATCATATAGGTTAATATTTTAAGCGTGATCTCGTTAATGTGTTAGTTTTATAAACAAGGAAGTTGCACTTCACTGAAAAATAACCAAAATTCATGTGGTGGGATTAAGGTGTATTTCATCTAGTAGCAAACGCGAAACCTGTTGTTGTTGTTTTTTCCCGTTTTAATTTTTTATCGTTTTTTTTTTTTTTCCTCTCTGTCTCTATTCTTCTCTATCTCCCTCCTTTTGAACATAGTGCAAGACCAATTGATGGGAGGTCAAGTGCAGTTGCATATTAAAACTTGACTCACATCTTTGCCATACCCATTTTTCTCTTTTAAAAATTCTAAAAATATTAAAGTCTTGAAACCCTAGTACTTGACTCGTATATTAGTCGTGGGTCCTTGTTGTATATACATTGTAATTTTCGGAGTCTTTGCAACCACTTCAAGTTCCATTAACGGTTTGCATCGGTTCGTTTATTAGCGCGCAGAGCGTTATCAATTAAAATAAAAGTGTATTTGAAGTGCTAGAGACTTAAGGATACATTCTCCACGCTCATGCAGTTAGCCAATATGAGAGGTTATTCTTGATCATGTTTTGCAGGGGCAGCAACAGGGGCATCTCGCACTTAGACAAAAGGTGTTATGATAAATTCCAACGGTGGTAAAAGCAACATTATAACATGATCATTTTCGCTTTGTCCTTGTATTGGTCATCTTGGCCCAGAGAAAGGATGTAGAATACCTTCATCGAGTATAAATTATATTGTTAAGGGTATGTAACACAGTGACTAGGTGTCAATGACTTTGTCATCTAAAAAAACTAAACTAATGCCTTATAAGGGCATATGAAAAAGATGGTGATTGAAAAATGGGGTATTGAGCAAATTTAAAAAGTTGTTGGGAAGGAAGTACTCGGCACGCCTTTCTTTTAGGCATATGATAAAGTTTTTTGAAACAACCCAAACCTATTGACTTATCGTGAGAGCACGGGTTTGCAACTCATAGTTGGTCTGTTGATGTGGTTGAGGAAGGATAAGGTATTGGTTATATTGTGTTTATGTTTTGTAACATTCGTTATATATATATGTAAAAATGTGTGTGTGCTCGTATGTGTTTATATGTGAGTGTGTGTATGTGTGCGTATTTGTGTGTGTGTGTGTGTGTGTGTGTGTGAGAGAGAGAGAGAGAGAGAGTTGCAACACATTGCATGTTAGTGACTCAGAGCACAAAGGAAAAAGCTAAGACTATGGTATGGTGTTTTTTTATTCGCAACCCAAAGACTATGGTATAGTGGGCTTCAACGCCCGTGTCAACATGTCGCATTTGTGGTGGCAGGCGACCAAGGCACGAGTGGGTTCTTAGGTGACAAAACTTTTGGGGGAATCAGTGCTTGGCGGTATTGCGGACGACCTACAACTAGCTCTCGTAGAACCGGGACTTAAAAAAAAAAGTAAGGAATGATCATGAAGTGGAAGCGGACCCCAAAAAGAAGTAAGAAGGGAAGGCATCGTCGGGAGTCTCATATGTAGGTTGTCCAAAGTGGAGGGTATCAGCGGATTATGGTCTACTACCATAATTTGCAAGAGGCAACTTTGATGATTTCTTTTGTTCGAATGAATTAGCACGCAAATTTAAAAATTTGCAAATTTATAGGTAAGTTTCTGATCTTTCCATTAAAAATATCAGAAAATTTTCAAAAAATCATTAAGACCAAAAAATAATCGTCGCACCAATTCAACACATATTTTATTTTTGCCACTTAACCACATGTGGGCCAACTGAAGAAGTACTCAAACTTACGTGATTTCTCACACTAAGAAGAATGTGTAAATAAATATAAAAATTTGAGTGCTTGTTAAATTTTTTTTTATAGTTCCAAGAAAAGTATAAATAAACTATGGAGTTTTTCATGCTCGGGTGGGTTCGCATGCCCGGGCACCGGAGTGTGCAATTTTTTTTTGCCTTTCTACGCTCTCCTGGAGGACCCCAAATCTGGGCTCATTTCATTTTTTGAGAGTTCGCTGTCAAGGGGGGGGGAAGGTGGGTATAAATTATTTTTAAAGGGGCAAAGAGAGGTTAAAGGGGGGTCCTTTAGTGTGATTTTGTTATTTTGTTTTTTATCTTTGATTCCGTGAGGAATTCTGATGTGACCCTTAGCTGAAAGTTGTTTGTATTACAATTTTACANTTTACACAACATTTTTTTTTTTTTTTTAAATTGACTTTTTTTTTTTTTTTTTTTTTTTTTTTTTGCGCCGAGACTGTCCGAAAACGTGTCCGAGGGTCATGCCCGGCTGGGCACCCGGGCATGTATCCGGGCACAAGTTAGCTGTCCGGGTACCTGGAAAAAAAAACTTGTAAATAAAATAAATAAAAAGAATTTCAACCATGAAATAAATCGAGGCTGCAAGTTCGTAGCCTTAAGGCTGCAGTATAGTGGACTTCGACATCTGTGTTAAGGTGTCTCATTTTTTGCGGCGGGCGACCAAGACGCAAAGTGGGTGTTTAGGGGGCAAAACAATTTTGGGGACCGGTGCTTGACAAAATTGTGGACTACCTACAACTAGCTCTGGTAAAACCGGACTTTTGGAAAAAGGATGGACCGGTCCTCGGGTGGAAGCGAACCCCAGAAAAAAGTAGGGGCGTTGGACCGTTCCTCAAGTGGAAGCAAACCCCAAAAATAAGTGAGGGCATGTGTACTACAAAAGGACCCTCAGGCCCAAGCGTTGACGCCCGTCTTCTCAAAACAGGGAGGTTGCGTCAGACGTTTTGCAAGAGGCAACTTTAAAGATTTTTTGTGCTCGGAGGAATCCGCAGAAAAATATGAAATTTTGAGAATCCATAGATGAGGTCGTGTTTTTTCCAGGAAAACATTAGAAGATTGAAAAAAAATCATGTAGACCGTAAAATAATCATCGTGCCGATTCGGTACATTTTCCACTTGTGCCACTCAACCATGTGTGGGCCAAATGAAAAAGTACTCCAAATTAAGTGAGTTTTCGCGCTCAGAAGAATGCGTGAAAAAACCTGAAAATCGGAGTACTCATAGATTTTGTTGTGATCTTTCTGGAAAAAATGCTAAATAAAAAAATAAAAAATAATTCCAATGGTGAAATAGATTGCGACCGCAATTTGATCCATATTTCAATTTTGTCATTCAACCTGTTTCTCTCTCTCTCTCTCTGTGGTAGGCCACCCCCCCTCCCTCTCTCTTTATCTCTGTTTCTTTCTTTCTCTTACTCTCTGTCTCTCTCTCTCTCACTCATATCAACAAATGAAACAATACTCTCTCTCTTTCTCTCTGGTAGGCCCCCCCCCTTTCTCTCTCTCTATCTCTCTTTCTTTCTCTCTCTCACTCCTTGTCTCTCTCTCTCACTCATAGCAATAAATGAAACAAAACTCTCTCTCTCTCTCTCTCTCTCTCTCTCTCTCTCTCTCTCTCTCTCTCTCTCTCTCTCTCTCTTTCCCTCTCTCTCTCTTGCGCGCTCTTAGTCTCATTGCCTTGGGTACATAGGTTGTGTTCCCCTCGCCCACGCGGTAGACAATACCCATATTTCATTTTTGTCATCCAGACTCTCTCACTCTCTTTTTGGTAGCGTTCCGCCCCCTCCTTGCGCACGCTCTTGGTCCAATTGCTTTGGCTACCTTGGGGTTGCGTTCGTTGAGTTCGCCACGCCCACGTGGTAGATAATTCGAGAAAGTGGGTCAGGGGCCGTTTTGTTTTTCTTCCAGGACCGCGGCCAATACTGGTCTTGCACCTGTAAGGACTGCCCGCCCCCTAGAAGCCCCTGCCTGCAATTCTAACGCCCTTCCAATGACCAATTGGGCCTAGGGGCGGGACATGTAGAACCAAACGTTGAGAATGACTTGCAACCCTACGGGCTGCAAACTGATAGTGCTGGGCGCTTGGCGAACCTTGGGCCTCTCCTTGGGTTGCACTCCACCCACGGGGAGGGTCATGTAGAACCAAACGTTGAGAATGACTTGCAAGTGGCAACCCTACGGGGTCCAAACTGATAGTGCTGGGCGCTTGGCTAACCCTGGGCCTCTCCTCTGGCTGCACCCCACCCAAGTGTGGGCTTCCAGCCAGGGGTTCCACAGGCTTCAGGCTACGTGCCCGCGCCGGGCGAGGCCCCGCTTGGCTGGGTCCTCTGTTTCTGGTCGTTGATTCTCATCATCCTCGTGATCGACGGTTACAAGTGAAGAATCCGTGTGAGTATATGGGACCGTGTTGCAGTCTCGAGCTTTCCCAGCATGGAGAGAGCGCGTTTGGGGCCACATCCTTTCCAGTCCTCGGAGGGCAGGGCTTGTATGGGCTGCGCCTCGTATGTTGCGCACGGAGTCCTCATGAGGTGGGTTTGCGTAAGGCCAGGTTCCTTCTACCGTCCGATTGTGCTGTGCCCTCGGTCGGTTATTCGAGAACTGAGGGACGCAATACAATTGACGGCGGTACAGGTACAGGTAAGGTAGCCGCGGTCTCGTTATATGGCGAGTCAGACGGCCGCCCACCATATGTTAGTGACGGTGCAGTATTGCACTGCTCTTAGTTTCGGGGTCCTTTCTGTGCGCGCGCTACGGTTTGGGTCTGTCTGCGCGGAGGCTGTTGTCTTTCCACCATCCAGTCATCACTTCTGTCCGCTTTGCAGCCGCCTGAAAGTCTGCTCTTTCTTTACCCAACCGCGCCGAGCGAGTGGTGGGTCTAGAAGCTGCGTCTGGCTATTGTATAAAACGTCTTCCAGCCTCGGAGCCCCATCTTCACGGCTCTGAGTCTATCGAGCGCCTCGCGTGTACGATTCTACCAGCGCTGTTCTGAGGTCGTGTTGGCATTCAGCACCCGTCCCTCCTTCGTGCAAGTCTCTTCGTGTCTGCGCTAATCCTCACGTCTGAGCGCTGCGTGTCGCGCGTTGTTCTTGATTGCAACATAATTGGTCTTCCTCTCACACGCGCAGGAGACTCCTTTCCTGTGAAGCACAACTGTCTCTCTCTCTCTCTCTCTCTCTCTCTCTGTGGTTGTCTTCTGCTTTGCGCAATTGTAAATGCGATCATCTTGTGACGGCAGGTGAGCGATTGGCATGTGTTCAGCCAGGTGGCTTTTCTCGTGGCGGTGACGGCGGGGGCAGGGCGCGAGTAAGACCTTCTCTTGACGTGCATGAGAACAGGGTTTGCATGTTGGATTACTTGTCTCGAGTGATTCCCGTGAGCAGCGTTCTCCTGCGTGGAGGCAAGTCGGTGATTGACTGTCTTCGAGTAGTAGGATTCTGATCGGTGATCGGTAGGGGTGAGTGGGGTGGTTTGAGCCTAGAGGCGGTTGTTGGGTGGTTGTTTGTTCGGGTTAGCTGTGTACGAAAGCGAAGCGCGGGAGGGGGTGAGAGTAATTAGGGGTCGCGTTGTCTTGGGGTTCGGGTGTCTCTTTTGTTGATTTCGTTGCCGTCCGACTGTGTTTTATGTCTGAGGCCATATTCCTTCGTTTTGGCTCCTTCTCGCCGCTTGGAGAGTACGGTCCTCACTCGAGAAAGCGCCATAAACCGTCCTCTCTTTGTACGCAAATCGGCTTGTATGTCACAGAAAAGCCGCCCATCGCTTTTCCTCCTTGGCGTTTACGCCAAACCGAGCACATCGGATCAGCGGCGCCTTTAGCGGCGGCTTCAGCGCTCCCCACGGCTGGCATTGTGTCGCACCTTCCGGGCGGCGCTTTGCGTTCTCCTGAGGGAGGACGAAGACTCTGGGGAGTGTCTGCTGTGTCCCCTGCGAGCTTCAGCGGTGGGTGGTTCACACCCCCGGACAGCTGAAGAGTCCCGCCTACTCTCGGAGGCTATTCTTTCTCGCTCATCGTCAAGATGGCGCTCCAGAACATTGGCGCTGCCAACAGCGACGATGCCTTCTACCGCTACAAGATGCCCAGGCTCATCACGAAGATCGAGGGCAGGGGAAACGGCATCAAAACGAATCTTGTCAACATGGTGGAAGTCGCTAAGGCTCTCGCAAGGCCGCCCTCCTACACGACCAAGTATTTCGGATGCGAGCTTGGCGCGCAGTCGAAGTTCGATGACAAGACGGGGACTAGCATTGTCAATGGCGCTCACGACACCGGTAAGCTGGCTGGACTCCTGGAGGGATTCATCAAACGCTATGTACAGTGTTACGGCTGCGGTAATCCCGAAACGGAGATTGTGATCACCAAGTTGCAGACGATTCAGATGAAATGCGCCGCGTGCGGCCATCTGTCGGATGTTGACATGAGAGACAAGCTGACGACGTTTATTTTGAAGAACCCTCCTGAGACGAAAAAGAGTGCAGGCGGGAAAAAGGAGAAGCAGCTCCGACGAGCGGAGAAGGAGAGACTGGCGCACGGAGAGGCTGTGGACGATGAGGCTAAGAAGGCGAGCAAGAAACTTGTCGCTTCCAAGTCCAGGAGCAAGAAAGAGAAGAAAGACGACGATGAGAAGCGCAGCAGCTCTGGCGATGACAGACCGGACTCCGTCGGTGTCCCGGCAGTTGATGACGTGGAAGAAGTCGAGTGGCAGACGGACACTTCCGCGGAGGCGGCGAGACAGAGGATAATGGAACAACTCACGGCAGCGACCAGTGAGATGGTGGTCGTGGTGGACACGTTGAATGGCGACGCTGAGCCCAAATCTGCATCCCCGAAGAAAGCCAAGGACGATTCCGCGGCGCCTAAACTCACTCGAGCGAAATCGTCGAAGAAGGCGTCCTCTGTAAAAGAGGATGCGAAGTCGCACTCAACGACGACGACTGAAGTTCGCTCGCCTTCGCTTCCGCACGTGGAAGAGAAACTAGTCGAAGAAGTGAAGGCGCTGAGCTTACACGACAAGATGGTTCAAGAGGTCAAAGCGCAGTTGAAGACTAATTCTCCGGTCGAGAAAATTCTCCTCTACCTGAAGGGCAAGAAGGTATCGGATAAGGAAGCTATGTCTATCTTGTTCCAGGCTCTCTTTGACGGCCTCGGCAAAGGCCTCTCAAAGGAGGTCAAGGCGAAGAAATTCCTCTTATCGAGAGCGGTAAATGGAGAGTCATCACAGAGGTATTTACTCGACTCTATTGAGGTGCATTGTGGGGTGACCGTTCCCGATGCTGCAAAGGAAGTGCCCCTCGTTCTCAAAGTCTTATATGACGAGGACGTTCTGGAGGAGGACGAGATTCTTGCATGGTATGACGAGGGGACAAAGAACGCGAACGATGTTGTGAGCAAGTCGGTGGCAGCTCTCGTCAGGAAGCACGCGACGCCTCTTATTGAGTGGCTCAGGAGCGCAGAGCCGGAGTCCGACGAGGAGTGATTCGCAGTCGGACGAGGAGTGATTCGTAAGACCGTAATTGTCGAAATGGTGAAAAGCTTGATATTCTTGATGTTTTATTCGGAACTCAGTTTTTTAACATGTTATCGGCGACTTATTTTGAGCATTATGGAAGTATTTTTAAGGAATCGCTTGATGTTGACCTCGTGCGTTTTTTTTTCTTGAAAAAAAGTATACGAGGCGGTAATGAGTGTGAAAGCGTTAAGTGGCGGGGATGCGATTTCAAGAGAAAAAGAAATATGATGAGGTACCGGCGGGTGGGACAGTCGGGTTTGGCGTTTGAATGGTTTGGTGCTTATGTAGGCGTAAATGTTAAACCTCCCTCATTTAAATTGAGTGAGAACGGAAAACGTATATGGCTGAGGGCCTGAGGCTGGGGTCGTGTGTGCTGAGGCTGGGGTTTCGATTTGTTGGTGGGATGCGGGCGGTGTGCGGCTTTCGTCAAAGAAAAGTGCGTCTGTCTGGGTGTGTTATATGGTTCTACAGCCGGGGAGCGGAGCCTGATGAATCTGAGGGATGGCACAACTGGTGTGTGTTGTGTGGGCTTGATGGCTGTTCCGTCGCCTCCTGTCTCTCGTTGGGAGGATACACAATAGAGTATGATGCCTGAGATTCAGTTACGGAACGACGAGTACCTCCTCGACAAGGATTTATGGTTTTTGTTTTGCAGTTTGTGAACACGAGCTGTTTTTTCGAACTGGGTTTACAGAAATTGGGCTGGGTAGGTGGGGTAGTGTAAAACAATTAATGTTGTGTGTGATAGGTGGGTTTTGTTGATTGGTGTGCAGAGTCGTTACTTCGTTGAAAGGCAGATTGAAGTGCGCGGGGAGCGTGGAGAGCGGGAAAAGGTGAGTAGGTCAAATTGCGCGGGAAGGGTGGAGAATTGGGGGGTGGTTGGGCTCTACTGAAATAGGGAGCGTGGAGAGTGCGGAAAAGGTATAGGTAGGTTAAATTGCGCGGGAAGAGTGGAATAGGGGGGCGGTTGGGCATTACTGAAATAGGGATGCAGGGGAAGGGATTGAGCACGATTAACGACGACGGCTATTTTGGTGTTTGTTGAAGTCGTTAAATGCAGTCGAAAGGCTTATATTAAAATGTGAGGAGGACGGTCGGTCGGACTACTGAAATAGGGGTGCAGATTTGGGTACTAGCATCGACGTGTGTAGGATGGGAGGGCCTGTTTTTTGAGAGGGAGTTCTCTCTGGATGTGCAGTGGAATCGCGTTAAAAAGTCGGCGTTTCTTATGAACGACTTCAACGTGGGAGGGAGTGAAAATTCGGTTTCGACACATGTTATTAGTGGCGCTGATGGCTTGGTGATATGGACTCTGTGGTTGATTGTCAACAGGTGTATGTTTGTGGAAAATGTTTTTTGATGTTCTGATTAGGAATATTCCGTGTAACGTGGTTTTTGATGTTCTGATTAGGAATATCCGAATTCCAAATGTGGTAATCTGTCGCTCCGATTGACGGGTGGGATTAACAATGGATGTGAGGACTGAAGTTGTGATGTTATAAGAGGAGCTTTGTGTGATTGAGACCCGGAGTATCGGTTTGCAGTGCGTCATTAATGTGTTCTCGAAATAGGCAGAAGTAGGTTGTCTTATCTCACTTGAAGTAGGCTGTCTATCTCTTCATGATGATATTTTGGGTACTGGAAAAGAGTCGACGAGGCTTGGTGTAAATGGNTTTGGGTACTGGAAAAGAGTCGACGAGGCTTGGTGTAAATGGCTGAACATTTTTTGTCCTGTATGATCTGTTTGCTGTGAGTGTGGGTGTGTGAGGGGGACTAGTCATACCGAACTCTGCTTGAAATCCGTGATTTCTTGTGATTTTGAGCTCTTTAGGGGTGAAAATGCTGTATTGCCCTTCAGGATTAGGTCCGTGAGTGGGGTTTTCACATCTCGACGTTTCCGTCTGAGATCGAGGTTGATGTGTGTGCAGTGGACCTCGCTGGTGTGTGCGTTGCCAGATATGCGCGAGTGCTTGGTTCACGAAGAGTTTGCGCTGTGTCGACCTTTTGGGTAGAGACGATAATACGAGGTCAGTGTATAGGTGAATTACCAGTGGTGAGAGATCGACTCCACAGCGATGTCGAATTCGTCCGTGTGTGATGAAGCCCACCCTAACTGCTCTATTTACAGCTGAAGAACGCAGGAAGGTGGCGAGAGTCGGTGCTGAACTCGTATGGCTGAGAGCAGGTATTGTGTTTTTTTCAGTCGGAGGCTGTTCATACTTACGCTCGGTTGTTACAGACCAGAGATAAAGTGGTAGTGTATGGGCCTCACGTGCGCGCATGTGAGAGAGAGACAGGTGGTAGGGCACCGGGAGGACCAGGGGTTCACGTGCGCGCACACGACTGTGTATGTGTCTGTGTGAGAGAGTACAAATAAGTGTCTGTGTGTGTTTGTGTGAGAGAGAGAGAGAGAGCAGGTATTGTGTTTTTTCTCAGTCGGAGGCTGTGTACTTACGCTCGGTTGTTACAGACCAGAGAAAGTGGTAGGGCATGGGGCTCACGTGCGCGCATGTGAGAGAGAGACAGGTGGTAGGGCACGGGGAGGACAAGGGGTTCACGTGCGCGCACACGAGTGTATGTGTGAGAGAGAGAGAGAGAGAGAGAGAGAGAGAGAGAGAGAGAGTGCGAACAAGTGTCTGCGGGCACGGAAACGGGTGACAGTCACGAGGAAACATTGCTGATCTTTGGCAGGTGGGGTGATATTTGTTTTTTGTCGAGTTGCTTAGCGTTGCGTGAGACGCAGGTAAACTGTGGACAACCTTGGGCGGTGTTATGTTGGCCAGGAACTCTGTACCGTAGCGAAGCTCGCAGGGGATGTTCTCTCTCGACTGTCTAAGAAGGGGAGGGGGATCATGTACGTTGTGTGGGATTCCGTATTGGCCTTTGTTTCAAGTGCGGAGGGAGGGTGAACTGGGGCGACTTGCACGGATTACGAGAATCTGGCCGTTGATCTTTGCTATCTAAGGTCAATATCGCTTAATTTGCTAGCCCCTGGCGAGTGAAAGAAGAACGCGCTGTGAAATATAACCGACGGCGCGCGCGCTTGTGTGATCCTTTTACGATCCACAACACTTGTCGTTACTGTGTTCTGTTTATCGTGCAGTTCACTGATGAGGTAATTGAGGCTTATCTAGAGAGAGAGCACGCAGTGTAGGTCTTAGGTCTTGTCGGTCGTCGGCAGGTAGTTGTTGCCGTGCGATTGTCAGTCTCTTTAGTCAGAAGAGTCTAGCAAGGTCCAGTCCGTCCCCCTCCYCCCCCCCCCCGTCTTTCCCCCCTCCCCCTCCCCCTCCCCCTGCACACGTCCACGTACCAGTGGTGGTTGTCTTACCAACCCCAGTCCGGTGTTTTCCGCTCTCGAGTTGCTGTTTAACAGTATGTTTTTTGTTGTTGCTGTTTCCCACTCAATAGTGGCGTACCTTTTTCCTTCGAATACAGCGTACGGTCATTCGAGCTGTATCTAGACTGAAAGGTGCGTCACATACTGTTATAATGACCGTACGTTGTATTCGGCGGAAGAAGGTAGGTTAGTTGGTGCAGCGCTTAACTGTTGAAACGCAGACCTGAGTTCGAACTCCACTGGAAGCAGAAGAGGCAAGTAGTACGACTCTTGAATGACCTGGCCGGTCAGTTCGATATGATGGTATCTCAAGGCCGTCGCCTTTAAACAAAAAAAAAAAAAAAGGAAGATTGCCGGTTTACGTGTCCCTTAGCGCTGATAACGCGTCCCTTAGCGGTGACAACGGTTGTTGCTGGGGTACTGCCCCCCACCTTGACGGTGACGTTCCTGCTAACTGTAGGTTTGGGTTTATTGCGGTTTTTCCCATTCAATAACTGCTGAGTTAGTGGCCTGCAACCGTCTTTTCCCCCGAACATAACGCACCCTGAAATTGAACGTATGCAAGCTATATTTCCGGTCCGGTACGGCCAAGATGAGGGTTCTGTTCGGGGGAAGACGGTAGCGCTAAGAGCAGTTGCTGGGGTACCTCTGCCACCCCCTTATAGGTGAGGTTTGTGATTTTATTCGGCGATTACGTACACCAGAGTACCGTACGGTACCGTGAGAAAGTGGCTCCTTTCAGAGCTGATAGTATTTTTTTTTATATTTTTATTATTATACAAAAGAGCTGATAGTAATGTCGTTTACGTAATTATTAAGGGGATCAATCATCTGCGAATTATGTTTTTAATCCGATGTTGCTAGTCTTCAATCCGTAATTACGTACGAGAGCGCACCTCAATCTGCGAATTATGTTTTTAATCCGATGTTGCTAGTCTTCAATCCGTAATTACGTACGAGAGCGCACCTCGTTAAGACTTTTGCATCCTACCTTAAAGATGGCTCGTAAACATTCAGAATCTCACGGTGCGTTACGCTCGGCGCGGTCTTTCGACAAATAAAAAAAAAAAAAAAGAAGGAAACGACATTGATCACTCATTAGAAAAGACGGGGCCGGTACTGTTTTTTTTTTTTTTTTTTTGGGGCGTGGTCCCATTTGCAAAGAGGATCGGATCGAGTGCCTGAATCTGGACCTAATTGTGGACAGGTGTAGGAAATCGAGATTGAACTGCTTTTCTGCACCTCTGCATAAAACACACATCCAGATTCATGAGCCTGGACGTAATTGTGAACAGGTGCAGGAAATCGAGGTTGAACTGCTTTTCTGCACCTCTGCAGAAAACATATCCAGATTCATGAGCTTGATCCTATCCTCTTTGCCAGTGGGACGTCGGCCCCGGGTTGTATTGTGAGGTCCCCGGCCTCAATTGGAATTTCGAAATATAAGCAAGCAAGAATTTCGAGGGAAAAAGAAAAGAAAAAAAAGCAAAAAAAAAGAAAAGGCGATTGCACCGAATTTGAACCGAATGGAATCCCTGAGAAAGGGGTCGTCTCAAGAAAGAATTCTGTAGACCTAAAAAAAAGTCTTAAGGGGGGTACAGAATTAGAACAATCGGGGGGCTAGTTCTGACAAGTCTTAAGGGGGGTACCGAATTAGAACACTGGGGGGACTGTTCTGCTAAGTAGGGGTGGATGTTGTGTCTCGTAGACTGTGGAGGTAGTTGGCACTTGGGCCTTGGTTCCGGTCTTTCGACAATTTGGTCCTCAATAATGTAACACAAGTGACTCTCTCCTGTGGATGTACATGACCGGTTTTCCCACCCCGCCTGGATGCTCCTGACCAGAATTACGTCCACATTAAGTTGAAAAAGTCACAACTAGTTTTGAGTATATAAGATCACCACTGGAAACTTGAAAGCTAGGCCGAAGGATAATTTGATTATTAACACAAATATTTTTGTGACTTATAAGCTGAAGTAAACAATCTGCCACAAGTAACCAAAAAAGTTTTGCTCTCCTTTCCTTAGTGATGGACTTGTTCTAATTGTCATTGCCAATGGTTGGTTGCTAATTGATCACGACCGTGATTTCCATCGTTGGCAGTTGGCAGTTTTTTTCCTTTCCGTCGTTGAAAAATGTGTATTGAAGCTTTTATGGTCTGGCGAGCTTGGTTGCACTCACTAACTCGCCATCCACCAACATTCTCCAATGTATCTGGACATGAGACGTGTGCAGATGCATTCAAAATCTTTAGTAACATGCCATCCACCGACATTTGTTGAATGTCCAGATGCATTCAAAATCTTGGTGGCATTCGAATCCAAGGGAGCTTGGTTGCACTAACTCGCCACCCACCAACATTCTGCAATGTATCCGGACAGGAGATGCGTCTAGATGCATTCAAAATCTAAGATGCATTCAAAATCTCGGGGGCACTCGAATCCAAGGGAGCTTGGTTGCACTAACTCGCCATCCAACAACATTCTTGAATGCATCTGGACATCCCTTGTGTCCAGATGCATTCGAAATCTTGGTGGCGCTCGTATCCAATGTGGCTTGGTTGCACGAACTCGCCATCCACGGACATTCTTGTGTGCATCTGGACGCGAAATGTGTCCAGATGCATTCAAACTCTTTTGTGGATGGTGGGCTGGTTATACGCTGGAATTTTAAGTGTTTGCGCGTCCCAATTTTTTAGCCGAGCTACCATTCTGTGGATTATATGGCATCGATATAATATATGTTGTGGTCAATTATACCCCGAGGCGCCCCAACCGCTTCTTGTCATGTGCATGCGGGATTCTGCCACATCTGGCCCCCCGACCCCACCCTGTGCCTCCCCTCAGAGTCTGCACTGACACTGCCGCTGGGCCCCATTAGGTTCCGTGTTTCTCCTAGGGGCGTACAGTCCACGCTGCAAACGGAAAAATCCTCGTTTTGGCTGTACCTGACCGGAAATATAGCTTGTATATATTATTATTGTTGTGCGTTATGTTTGCGCGAAGACCGTAACCGAGTCCTTTGCGTGATAGCGTATCACCAGACCCTGCCACGTGCAGAGCGAGACAGCGTATGAATGGCTGAGCACTGTTGAAAGCTGAAAACAGCTGAAAACAAGCTAGCTTTGGGCAGAGGACGAGAAAACAGGTGGGAGGAGGGGGACTAGGGGAACCACCCCACTTGCCTGACACACACACACACACACACACACACACACACACACACACACACACACACACACACAGAGAGAGAGAGAGAGAGGTGAGCACTCTCAAACACAGCTGATGACAGACGAATGACACACAGAGAGAGAGAGAGAGAGAGAGAGGTGAGCACTGTCAAACACAGCTGATGACAGACGAATGTTGGGCAGAGGACGAGAATGTAGAAGCAAGCTACACTACGATCAAGTGTAGTATCTGTTCCGGATCAGTTTGATATCTAATCGGTGATACAATGGACCACATAAAAAATAGAACAAATAAAGAAATTTGATGCGTCGCTAAACCCGAGGTCCTCAGTTAACATTTGGATTTGGGAACAGTGACAATAGACAAAGAGGGCTTACGTGTCATGAACAACGTGGCAGTCGCCAAAGTCTTAGAATGAAATCTGCGTTGTGCAAATGCATACCCCTTCCCCGATTACTGATGAGATTGTCAGTGCGGTCCTATTACTACCGGCAGGTCCCTTTCCTCTGACTTCCGATAGGAACATGAAAAAAAAAAAAAAAAAAAAAAAACCAGTTTTTTGGATCTCGCCGGTATCACTTGTAGACCTATAGGCTCTAGCGTTGTAAGTTGTCGTTTACTCACCTGTCCCCCAATCAATACGCCAAAATAGAGTAATGTGCCAATCACACCGCCTAAATTTATTAAATTAGTTTCAAAAATATCGAAATTGAATCCAAACTGTGATCACCATCATGTCACGGGGACAACATGCCAGAGAAGACGGTTAGAAAGAGTATGGGCCTGGACGTACCACTCACCAAATGCACAAAAGACAAACATTATGGTGGTGCATCTTTGCATATTTTAGCAGGAGATTCATTCTCATTTTGCACATGGTACCGTGATATGTCCTTATGCTATTCCCCAGATGATTCAGCTCAGACTAGCGACAAAGTTACTATAATAGGAAGGTACACCTTGTCAATGCCATGGGGCTTGTAAACATTATGGGTGTTTGCAGTGACTCGACTGTCGTTGCAAGGGATATCTGTAGCAAGGTCTGGCCTCTGGGTCTTTGTGCAGTCTGTATCTGCCCTGGATGGGGCGGGAAGTGTCCCCGCTTGTCTTTATGGAGCTCTTGGTTTCATCAACCATAGTGTCACTTGGGCCCTTTCTGCTCTGCAGTGAGGCCAGAATGATCCTGTGTCTCGGAGAGAAAGTGGGCGTCCA